ATTAAACCCATCCGGTCCCTCAGAAAACCCGGTTGATAAGAAGTCCTGCAGCCCTTTCGCCGCATCCTCACGACATGTGTCCAACAATCGTCCTAATAGTACAAGCCTCGGATCTTACAGATAGTCACCGCGACTCCCAATCCAATTTTGTGTCCTTTGTGTCCTTTGTTCCACCCTTGCCTCGAGAACCCCAATATAGCAATACAGAAACGGCGACCTAAGTCTGGTGGTATGACGCGTGCCGGTGTTGTCGTGTCACACCCTTAGTATGGGCGGTATGCCGATCCGCCTCTTCCGCCACGGTATCCACCACGGTAACCGCCTCCTCGTGGAGCGCCGCCGCCGCCGCCGTAGCCGCCGCCGTAGCCACCACGGCCGCCGTATGGTGAGCCGCGTCCGCCGTATCCGCCTCGAGGACCGCCTCGGCCGCCGCGCCCGCCTCGTGTCATACCGGGGAGGTTCGTTCGCTTGGGGACGACCTAGATTTTTGTTAGCTACCGGTCGCGTATCAAATGCCGATTGTGCTGTTCTCATACCTTTAGATTCCGGCTGCGGAACTGGCTGTTGTCAAGGACCAAAGCCTCATTGACCAGATGCGGTTCTGTGAACTCCACATACGCATACCTGCATACGCTCATTAGCGTTCCGATCTTTCTGCCAAACTCTTGCCAGGTAGCGAAAGATATTTTCGCCCAACTGTGACCCCAACAACATGTACGCGACTGTACGCGCGCGCATACTGGTTGATGCATGAAAGCAAATAAAAAACTTGGAAATGCGCAAATCGTTCAAGGAAAACCTCCTCTTAGTACTGACCCTTTGGGATGACCTGTGAACTTGTCGAGCAATATGGTCACACGGTTAATGCTTCCGATGCTCTGGAAGTGGGCCTGGATCTCTTCGGGGGAAGCGCCGTAGTCGACGTTGCCGACAAAGACACTGCGCGCGTCGACGTCTTCTTTGCTCTCGCGCATCTCGTGGCGTTCTAGGTCCGTCTCGCTCTGCATTTGGCGCAGCTTCTGGGCTTCCTCCTCCATCTCTTGTACGCGTCGCCTCATTGCTGAGATCTCTTCCTACATTGCACTGTCAGCATGCTCTTCTATTTCGGAACTTGTATGCGCGACAGCAGCCCGCTATCCTGGACAAGTCTAACGCGCGCGTTGTGGTGGATGGTATCGTACCTCTTCGTTGGGGTCTTCGGCGGTATCGAGGCGCTCATCCTCCTCGCGCTTCTGTTCGATAACCTCGGCGTCGGACATGGTGATTTGGGTGTAGTTGAAAGTCTAGGAGCCACGTCAGTAAATGAGAGCATTTAACGGGCCGTCCATGACTTACCGGGCTAACGTGAATGTTCCGGGGGCGTGAATGGTAATTAGATTGCGACCGTTGGGCGGTGGAATTTCCTTTTTGCTGCGATAAGATCAATCACAGATTGCGACGACGTGTAAATGACTGGTGGAGAGTGTGTAGGCTGAAAGGCAGCTGACAGAGGTGAAGGTAATGTTGCTCATACGAAATGACGAATGGCGCTGGGGAAGCTCGTAGCGCGACGCTAACAAGGCAGCGGAGCCTCACTTATGTAAGCACGGGCCAGCTGCAAAGCTGCGTCAGACTCACGACCGACACCTTTGTTCCACTCAGTCATGGCATTGTCAACGCCTTTCACCAGTACGAGTTTGAAACATGAAATTCATTCTTTTTGAGAAAACCGAGCCTTCTTAGATAGTGATGTCTTTTGTTCTGCCGAAGGGACCATCCAAAGTCACCTAGCTCTCGCCTTTCCCTCCTCACGTCAAAGACTTCCAAGGTTGGGATCAATTGCAAGCCTGCCTTGTTGTCATGCTTCCTTTCAGCCGTCTTTCCAGCTTGCGAATAAGCCAAGCTTTCCCTGGAACCGTGTACTACAGGCAGACCACCATGCTGTAGTCTTCGCGTGCAAGAACTCGGTTCTTGTCTGGTAGCTCGCTCAGCTGGTGCTGCTTTCGGAGTATACGACACAGATACTGCTTCGGCAGGTCGTCGATCATCGCGAACTCCTCCACGTCCATATTTTTCACACCATCGTTGATGCAGAATGCGTCTACGATGAGCTGAAGGAAGGGGTCGTTGTTTGGCAAAGACTCAAACATCCATTGGACAGCCCAAGCCCTGACACTGCCTCCTTTTGAGAGATCATCAAACATCCTGTTCATCACTGCCTTCTTCAGTGGTCCAACTGACAGTTCTGCCGCCACCAGGTAGGCCTTGAGCATGCAGTTCATCTCATCGCCATGCATGTCGACAGAAGGGCGCAGTCTTGTCTCATATATCCAATCAACGAAGACATCGAAGCCTTCAACTGTCGCGTTGTGCATGCGATGCTCTTTGACCCCGTGGACGAATACCCGACGGAAATATCCGGAATAGTGCCTCAAAAGCCGCTTGTGTAGAGTGTACCGCTTTCCCTCATCTCCGGCTATGACAACGACGGTCTCTGATGCGGCAACGGCGCTATGTCAAATGATTAACATACTTCTTTGCGATTTCCACGGTCAGTCACTTACCTTGCGCGAGGTGCTTCAACTTTCTTCATGATTCCGCCTTGGATGTGAAGTGCCTTTGTCCTTTGCTGATATGGATGGACGCTGATGTTGCCTACACTCTGCAAGGATCAAGAAGAACAGTTAGAGGAGAACGTGGTGTAGGTGAGAAGAGGTAGGAGGAAGATCTACAAAGCTTCCTACTACTTATAGCAAGATGGGCAGTGAACTGTGTAAGGTGAGGGCCATCCTGCTCTCTCACCTAGGATGCTTCCTATCACCGCTCGTTTTACTCTTCAATGTCATTTACCTGGTCAGAGATCGCAAAGTACGGTTAGATGCACTAAAATACTAACTTCAGTTCTAACCTACACGTAATATGTTGATTGGAGGCAATATCGTTCATTCAGATAACGCTTGAGTATCTGAAGCTAGACACACGTGAATGATGCTACAACTTGAACGTATGAAGCTTCGGCCTGCCCAGTCCTAGCACCCTAGTTGTAATCTTCACGCTTCAAAGATGTGGTCGATGCTGCTCCTGCCTTGAAATCTCTCATCCTGACCAGATAACGAACAAGAAAGTCCTTGGGCAGCTGGGGTAGCAAAGCTACAACCTCATCGTTCATGGAGCTCATAGTTTCTTTGAAACACCACAAGTCCACGACCAGCCGAATCAAGGGGTCGCTCTCGGGCAGATGTGCATAGCAGTAGATAATACCGTGACAACCGGGTATTTTTAGCGGACCGGCTCCTTGATAGCAGACGAAGAGGTCCATGATAGCCGATTTGAGTCCTGGAGCCAGTAGTCGATCTGCCAAAATATACGACCGAAACTTGGGACCAATGTGATTGACGGTCTTAGCTGGGAACTCTATCGGAGCGACAACGCCGGTGTATATCCAGTCAACAAAGACGTCGAACGCGTCGGTATCAATATCGATGAGAGTAACGACTCCGTCATCCGTCTCCTTGAATGCGCCCGAAAGTGCTCCACGAAAGTAGCCGGAGTGATGTTTGAGAAGGTCGATGTGTAGGTTGTACTTCTTGCCCTCAGCACCAACTTTGACGATTGTGGTGTCCGAGACTGTTGCGACGCTATGCGAGGATCAGTAATGTTTTGTGATGCACGATGTGAAACATACCTGGGGGTAAGCACCCTATCAGCGGACGAGGGCTCCTCAGTCGCCATCTTCGGGTAGTGTGCGGTGATGGAGGACAAGAAGAGAGGACGAATATTGGTTATCGCTTAGGCGGAGCGAGACACGCCGAGCTCCGTTGTGGCGCCGAAGGGAAAGTGAAAGTGAAAGTGAAGACGTGTCGTGTTGATATATTGCTGTTTTGGGTTCCAGACACGACCTTAAACTTGTCTGTTAACTCCAAAGTTCACAGCTCAAAGAAAATACCAGCCCGCGAGAGTCTCTAAGACTAGCCATAGCGACGTCAATCGTGACACCGATCCCACGGTTTAGTTAGTCTCTACCCACACTGAGGTAAGTGCCGACCGCGCATCTCGTGTCAATATAGATACTATCATAGCTACGACGAGGGCGTTAGAAGTCAAGTATGGGATGCAGATGCTTGTCTTGACTCTCCAGGTAGGTTCATAAAAAGAACCTCGGGCGCGGGTGAACAATGCGCAATCCAACAGCCATATTCTTTTGGATTACCTACAACACACCATAACATGTTCTTCTCGAGAGAATCATGTACGATTTTGATATGATCGCGGTATGTACTCCAGCTGATACGGTGCGCAACCTAACAATGGACGAGATAAACTTGGGGATGCAAACAGTATACTTGTGAAAGTATCGATTGTTGTATTGACTACACTAACTTGGTTGACTACAGCTCGACTTCCATGGCTGATAGTGGTGCCACAGCCTGCGGTATACATATTACCATAACTTGATAACCGCACAGATTAGAGGATGATGTAGGCTCCTACCCTAATATATTTTTCGAAGAATGCGACATAAGTTGTGGCAACCACTGATGTCGGTAAGAGGTCCCGTGTGAACGTAGTGAGCACACCCAGATATTCAGATCGTTGTTGTGATCGAGCGTCTACTCCGTCTCAACCTCATCGCGATCCACGAAGTCGCTTCGCTTAAGCCCAGGAACTCGGAGTGAAATCTTAAGAACTTCGTTACACACCGTCGTATCGAGGGTACAGCTGTGTGGAGATGTAGCGTCACGGTGTGTAAACCACCTCGGTGTCTTCATCCCGTCCATCTTCTTGCGCAGGCCGTTGACGCTTAAGCCGTCAAATGGCGCGACCGGTCGTGGAGACATAATGCCCAGGGTCTTCATTTGCTTCATAAGCGCACCAAGTAACACAGAGCTACACTCAAAGGGGGAAGGCGCCTCATATGGGGTTCTACACGTGTCTTCACCGCAATAAATGTCAACCCATTTATAGCACGCTTCTATCATCTTCGCAATAATCTCTATGCGTCGGGATTCTAAAGCTCCTGCTCAAGTTAGTTGATGATCTTCAAAGAACAAGGACGCATACGTACGAAGAATGCCAGGTGGAATGCCCAACTCCATGTCGCGGATGTTTGGCCGGTCATTTAGTTGCAGTGTCAGCTTGGTGGTACTGCCAAATATCGTGTCCACTTTGAACACCCAGGCCACGAACATCCACAGGATTAACTCGCGACTATACGCGTCTGATATTGGGTAAATTGTCCGAGTGTTCCTAACCCATACGTCCGCGATCAGGTCGAACGCTTCCCAGCATTGGTAATAGTCCACAAGCTTGGCGACTTTGGCAAGCAGCTCCAGACTCAGCATCTTGGGTACTTGGCGGAAGCGGAGATGAAGCATGTTCAAAAGTATAGCGAATGCTTCTGGGTCCCAGTCTGCGGTGTCCATGTGGTAAAACCCATCGTCTGCTTTGTGGTTTTCGCTCCAAGACATAATCTCGCTTTTGAACTTTGGCGAAGCTGTGATCAGGTGTTGGGACGAGACCTGATACACAAAACAAGAGCGTTCCGCATCATCGCCCAAATCGTCTTGAATTTCTGGCTCCTGCCTCGATCTTTCTGCCATCCTTCTCTTCTTCTGTGGCGGGCCTTCTACCTTCAGGTCTTGGTCTGCATCCTCATCTTCCTTACCCTCTTCTTTGATGACAGAGTTTTCGGCTGCATCGTCATCTTCGGCTTCATGGTCCCAAACAGCGAAGGGTGCACCCGGGTTGCGTAGGGTAAGCAATACGTCCCCAGATTCGGCTATGACAACTCGTTCGTTCGCGTTCGCGGGTGGCGTCATGACATTGGCGACGCGTCGCGATGTGGAAAGAAGACGTTAGGAGTGGTGATCCCCGCTTACTGTCCGGTCGCGCTAAGACGCGTCTTCCACGTGTTTCGTCAAAACATCTAACAACGCCACCTCATACAGACAAAATGCTAAACAGGTTTACAGACTACATTGAGATAAAGACATGCAAAGTAGGTAGCCTAACGTTGATGTAAGCTCTCGGGTGTTCTGTGTTTGCCTAGGCTGACGTGCCTCTGTGGACGCGTCGGCCATAACAGCAAGCACTACTATACTAACACACTCGCCTCACCTCGATGTCGTTTTAATAACTCATTAACTCATTGGCGCGAGAACGCGACAGGACGCCTCATGATGCAGTACGCATGCCACTACTACCTGACACCCCCGCGCGCATCCCTCTCGACGGGAACACGCCAGCTGGCCTAGAGGCTAGAGCTACCTGAGGTGTGTACGCCACAACACGCCATACGGCAAATAAGCTTCGCCATTTTACATTTGCCGGGAGTGCGGGTGATGCACATCAAGATCAGCAAAAAGCAAGTTCAGGGCTGCACGTGGTAAAAGCAACGAAAGCTAAAACCATCGTCTCTTCAAACCACTACACACCCATTTAACCACTAGCTTCTCAACGGCGCAATGCACTAACGTTTGACTGGTCCTGGACATGAATATCGCACCAGAAAGTGCTCGCCTAAGGCAACCTGCTCTAACGTCGACGTTTGGGTTTCGGGGTAATGTGTGGTGGTGATTTTGAAAGTGGATGAGTTCTTCATGTGAAGATCAGCGTAGGTCCAGGGGAATGTTCAGCCAATAACTTTGAGGATAATGGAGCCGTAGAGATCTTCGAAGTACACGCTCATGTTGTGGAGAGTTTTCGAACGCGTGGGTAGACCTTCCGGGAAATGAGACGGGAAACAGATGATTCAAAATCCAGAGATTTTTGGACTTGAAGGCTGCGACACTGAAGACTACAAATAGCGAAAGGCCAATAACCGTAGACGATGGCGAGTTCAACAACATAAAAAGAAGTATAATTCGGCAAATCTTGCACACCATCACAATGCACCTATGCACCCTCTCACTATTCCCGACACCATTCTCTCCAACACCCAAAAATCTCGCCACACCTTCTCCCCACCCACCTCTCCATCTCAGCTGAAGCTCTGCGCGTCACACCAGATCGTCCATCCATCAACATCTCATTATCGATAAACCTCCGATCGGACCGACTTCACCTCCCCGAAGCGCAATTCCCAGCTTACCGCCATACTTTCCCACCTTCCACCCTTCCCCTCCCGTCGCACGCAACGCACTACTCTTATCCATGGCCATCTTTTCGGACCTTCAGCCTCACATGCAACACGCATCACATCCCCGACAATCCAGCCCCCAGCCCCCGTAATCCCATCACCCACATGACCACGTTCTACTCATGCACAACTGCGCGCAATCAACCTGCACTCCACTAAAGGCCCGGAGAATTTTTTGACTGCACTGTGCCTGGCGTGCTGGCGCAGCTATCACAGCAGCGCCCCCACGGAGATGGATTGCCCAGATTAGTTACATCGGGATGTAGCGTGCGACACAGACGGATCTAGACGCGCGACTAGTGTCGCTGTGCCCGGTGGTACTTTGTGACATTGACATCGCGCTTTGCGATTCAATGACAGTAGTGTTACCTTTGTTCGGCCGTAACAGCTGCGTGGGGTGGACAAGGTGGTAATACTGTACGTACACATGAGGCCGAAGAGATGTCTTCGGTGGTTTTGTGTTTCAAGGCTGTGGGGTGAGGTGGTAGTCGCAGGGAGGTTCCTTGGGGCAAGTGCATAGGTGTGCGGGAGGTGAGGTGAAGTGGATGGCGGGCCGAAGGGGAGTTGGGATGACGTAGGGTTGTGATGCGTGGGTGTTGGTGTGAGTAGAGGAAGGTTTTGCTGAGAAGATAGTGTCAGTCCCATTGCTATTACGATCAGTATGCGTGTTGCGACTACGTGATTGTTTGCATGTGTTTTTATTGGTTTTGAGATGTATATGCATGACCATCTAGAGCTGCCATTTCGGCTGAGCTGTCGACTGAACATTCGTACTCAACCCATTGTTTCTTTGCTCCTCACTCAGCGGATCAAAGCCCACCGTGAACTGTGGTCTCCTCGGATGTGACTCCTCATCATCATTCGTCAACTCTTGTGTGCTCGTCCCGCTGCTCTTTATGCTGCATGGCCTGTCGTCTCCCTTCATGTGCTCCAGCTCGTAGGTAAGACCGTAGTCGTCGACGCGCTCCTCCACAACCTGGACTTCGTAGCTGACGAAGATGGCGCTGAGCGACTTCTCGATGATGGGCCAGAAAATGGGCATGGAGGCGCAGATGATGGCGAGGTCGATTTCGAGGCAGGTGAGGATGATGAGAGTTGGTGACCACCAGGTGTAGTCGACGTAGGGATAGGTTGCGCCTTTGGTTTCGACGATGCCGTGGAGTCGCCAGACTGATGTTCCGACAACGCTGTGATTATGTTAGCATGGAATGCTTGGGCGGGGTGCCATGAACGACTTACACAGCTCCAAAGGTGAACACGCCCGCCATTGCGAACACGTTCTTGGATCGCAGGTTTGGTGTTCGGAACAACACCATTGGCGCAATGAAGATGGAGATATCGAACAACATGTTGGTGGCCGCTTGCGCTTTGTACGTAGCGATGAAGCTGTCAAGGTCTCCGAGTCCGAAGCCGTAGCAATTCGCAGATACAGTTCGGTCCCAGTACCCGCGCACTGGAAAGCATGGAAACCATGCGGTGATCGAAAAGGCGATACCCCAAAGAGTCACAGCGACGAGGAGGCCAATGCAGATCCATCGCATGAGTCCAGCCTTGAAGATGCGGAGGTACTGGAGCAAGAGAGCAATCTTGATGACGCCGCAGTTGGTGACGTATATGGCCATTTCAAAGTAGTACAGCTGGATTGGTTAGCAAGTGGCACCATCCAGTTGAGGAATAAGCATACCCTCAGATATTCTACTAGACGGTTGTAGCCAATGTACAACATGTGCTCACCCAGTCCCTGCTTGACAGCTACTCATATTAGTCGAGATCATACCACAAGCATGGTAAACCACCTACAAAGACACATTACGACAGTGGCTGCCGTGTTCAACGACTAGATTGAGTTAGCTTCATGTCAAACACGTAAAAGCTGTCAACGGTGAACGTACCTGAGCAAGGAACACAAATGCATCATCCCAGCCCAATTCCTTGACGACTCTGATGCGGACATACAGACGGAAGAAAACTGCGAACCATGCTATGATCTATCTGTGAGGTTAGCGGATGGTGCATCGAGAAGTATCACGACATCGTACCAAGAAAGTGAGCGTAGTGCCGAACATCGTCGCCCTGCGATTCGACAAGGGCAGCTCCTCATCTGGATCCGGTGCATGCAGCACCATATCGGTGTACATCTGCTCCCATGTCGACATCGTGAAGAACGTCGTACCTGAGTAAAGTGGAACGCCAGCGCCGGCGCTGCTTTGGAAGATGCAGAAACTATAAGGTTGGCGAACGACCCACGCCGCAGGGCGGGAACGCAAGCCCTAATGACCTGACAGGATACCGTCTGCCGCCTTCTCCCACGAGGCTACGGTTGACGATTCAGGGCCGTTGCCAAGCTGGGTTCATGCCGTCCACGCAAGACTAACGCAGGTGGAGACGTGTTGGAGGCTCAACGCTAGATGATAAGCGAACTGCGATTAGCGGATGCTTGCATTTGACAGGTCCTCGCCCAAACCTTACGCAGGGGTACCGCTGGGAGAAACGCTTTCTGGACGCCGGATTTCTGGCCTGAGGGATCGCGCCACGGGCTGCGCGTGCGGCGTGCGAGAGAAGGTTCCACGGCGGTGAGCGCTGGTGTTGCTTTTAGACCGTCCATGTGTGCGGTACCCGGCTTCCATACACCACCCCGTTACCTCTTGCTGTAATTGTTCTTCCAAAAGGATAGAAAGTGAGGCCCTACTTTGCTTCGACACTTCCATCCCGCGTCCCGTGGCAGTATGGACTTTTCGGGGCTGTTACGCCTCATCGCCCCTGACTCCAGTATATGTACAAGGGTACCAGGAGTGACATGTCAATATCTGCCGTCTGCCGAGCACGAGGAACGCAGGTTCGAGGCTGAGGTACTCGCAAGTAGGCAGCCGCGATCATTCGAGGTTTTGCAGCAAGCGCAAAGATTGGCTGGATTGCGCATTCCCCTGCGGAACCTTGAATCCTTCGCAAAGAGCACTGGCCATTGATATCATCACCAGTTTAATCCTGCACACAGGGACGGCCGCCACAGATCTTCAAACACGGCCAGGGTGAAATTTCCGGGCCAATCGTTAGCCTCCGACGCCAGATGACTCGCTGATTCATCTCGTCGTTCTTCTTTGGGTGTCGCGCTAATCGCAATCGATCGGCGCAGGATTGTGTCTCATCTCTTGTGCTGGGATCCCGACTAATCGGCAAGGTCAACAACAATGCTATGTATATGTATCGGTGCAGGATCCTCGGATTCGCGACATGACACACTTGCCATCGTGTTCCTTCGATGGATCCTCCTACGCGGCGTCTCCGTTGTTCTGGTGCAACCGTGACGAGATTGGCGGGAAACAACGCCGAATCTCGTGTGTCTATGCGTCACGACGATACGCGACGAGATCCTGCATCCCGAGGTCGCTTGAAGGAGGAAGAATGGCGAGATGACTTTCACATGCATACCAGATGTATGACTGCCATGCCAATACTGAGGCTGAAGAGATGGAAAGGATCAAAATCGGTATTGGCATCGGAAACGCGGGATGTGGAGGCACCGACTTCGTGCCGATTTTCCACCTCTCAGCGTCACGTGCCACTACACTACTTTTCTTCAGATGTTTCAAGCATATCGTAAAGGTAAGGACATGATGCTCATCCAATTGATGGCGCTACCAGTCTATACTAACAGTCGTTACATTGCAATATCGGCCTCGTTCAGTCCAGAGAAATGAGACCTCGGGATGCGGCCGGCAAGCATCGGCTCTCAATCGTTTCCATCATTGTTGTCGATGCAATACCAGCATACACCCAGGACGCGCCTGCCTACTAGCATAACAGCCCGCTTGACCCTTCTCTACTGCTGCATTTATTCAGATACGCTGGTTCCAACCCTCAGCGGCCCGACGACTTTGCGGAAACCCCACTGAAGTACTATATCTCGCGAGCCGAGCAATCGTTCAGGTACATCGCGTTTCTATGCTCTCGCGCAATAATGCAGGGGTTGTCAATAATTCTCGAGGAGTCTTTTGTGCATATCCACGATTTTAGTGACCTCAGCCCGAACGTGTTCAACTCCCGGCGTCGAAGAACATCTATCGAGGAGACGGAGTACCTGCTGGCCCTCCTTTATAGAGCGCGTCTGCCACCCCCTAGCATCCCGGATGGTTTCATCTCTGGAACGTTTTCGCGCTTGTCCTGAAATATTGCCTCTACGGGCTCCAATGTCCTCCATCCATCTGAACCAACGAACGCACGTTTTGAGATGTCGATGCAGAGCTGTAGTAACTTTCGTAGCATCAGGGACTGATAGTTCCACAGCCAGGCAGGTTTTACATCCCACATAGAACTCGGAAAAATCGACCACGATCTTCAGGGTTTGTTTGGTCAGACTGGGAAGCTCCTCAGGCGCAACATCGGCGAGTTCGCCTCTTACCGCAAGGTCGTCTTGGTATGATATCAGCATACTCTCGAGGCTGCTCAGAACTACCCTAATCGTTGGGTCGACCCGCGTTAGGATATCCGATGGGTACGTCCGCATGCTGGACTTGACGTGTCGCAGGGCAAAACATGCATCCGAGATTCGGAGGATATCTACACGTGAGATAGTGTAAGACGCGCCATTGAAGAAAGCCAGGATACTGAACGATCTAGGTATCTGCAGAGCGATATAAGTACACTCCAAACATTCCTGTTCTCTTGGTGTTGGGTGAGGGTAATGGAGTTGTAGTTCAGAGGTGAGAATGTCGCTCTGTCTGACAAACAAGAGGTGCGCAACTCTACATGATCAGTCCAAGTGGGCGAAATTGGGTCCATGGGCTGACCTACCGAAGGCGCAAGTAGTAATTCCAATACGAAAACAAACTGAACGACTGGACCACGGAAGCTCGGTCCCGTACGAAGATATGCAGGCTTCGATGTTGGGCAGGCTCTCTAAGCAGTACTTGTACATCGCGGTCGTACCGAAGTCTGCGTAAGACATTTGACTGCAACTCTGTAGCGCCAAATCGCCTATGGAAACTCCGATGAGCGTTCAATCCGGTGGCGATGCTCGTAGTTGAAAAGCTGATAATTCTAGGCGCAGGTCTCGAGATGGAGAAACGAGCAATGGTGGAGAGAGGCATAGTTGCGAAGAAGCCCCGGCGCGAAGACCGACTGAAGCCGGCGACCTGGCAGTGCTGATGGGCGGGGCTTTGGCATCGTCGAGACAGATGTTTCGAAGTGTTGTTCAGGTATGCGGTTGAGCGGCACAGTCATGTGCACGTGAGACCGAATGAGGCTAGTACGCGAGGCGAAGGAAGTAGAGTGAGCAGGCGCACATAATTTCTGTCGAGTCCACGGCTCCTCCTTCTCTCCAGACCCTCTCTCTGAAAGCAACACCGAGAGCGCTGGAAACGACTATGACAGAGAACACTCCACAAGACCCATTCGGTCAACTCCCCGAGGAGCTCAGGCTCCAGATAATCAAACTCTCTCCGAACCCTTTCTCACTACGAAACCTGGCCCATGCGTCGCCCGCTATGGGCAGAGTGCTCGACAGATATCCGCTCGAAATTGTGGAGGAGGTTATGACGGTTACCGTTCCCGTGCAGACGCGTCGCCTGATGGACGCGGTCCTCAAAGCTCGCTTTTCAGACTTCTTCGCATCCATGCCCGAGGCTCAAACTATTGCTGAAGCTGACTGGGTTTTCGCCACCGAAAACATACGTTCGTCTGGACTGGACCGAGCCGCCGCGGCAGTACGGTCTTTGCTCGCTAGCGCCGCGAATGTGCATGCCTGGTCTCATGCCTGCCTTGAACATTTGATACGAAAATCTTTGCAGCTAAGGCCCTCCACACTCATCAAAATGGGGTCTGGGAATATGGTCCGGGAACGTTTCGAAAGCGCCGAGAGTCGAAAGGACTACATTCCACAGGAAACCGGCCCACCTTCGTACGTGGAAGAGAAGCGGATGATGGAATCGTTCTGGCGACTACAATTCCTCCTGGAACTCCAGGACGCCGGTCGTAAGGGCCGCCTGGACGCCATTTGGCCGAGAGAGGAAATTGATACGTTGTTCGAGAGCAGCGCGGATGGCTTTTACGACGTGCACAAATCCGTGCGAGAGCAGATCTTGACCGCCAGCGATTTTCTCGACGCAGTCACCTCTGGGTCCATTGCTTCGGTGGAAGCTGTTAAGAACAACGCTTTTGATTTGCCAACGATACGTTGGGAAGAAGGAGCAGTGTCTAGGTGTTACTGTGCCGAGCCGGTCTTCTTCGTCGATAGCAACAAGGACATATTCAATCAGGATCCACGTTGCGAATACTTAGGGCCATGTGGGTACCTCTTTTGGTCCAGAATGTCCTCACTTGAGGGATACGAAGATGGGGGTCCACTTACGCTTGTGTACCCTTTTAAGTGCTGGCGCAAATATGGATTTGCCATATGGGATGACAAGCGCATGGCTGATCTAGGCATGCGGCACCCAACAAAAAGGTCAATCCTTCGTTGCTATATTTCCTACTCTTTTCGATGGTGGAGCTTATTATCAGAGAAAGAGCTGCGTCAGGAGTTTTCAATGCGAGAGCAATACCAACTAGATCGTGATTGGCCGTAAACGACTCGCTACAGCGATAAAGACTCAGGCCAACAAAACATGCCAGCCCTCCAATCTTCACTCCATATATCAAAGGACTGCATACTCAGATATTGGGGTCAGAACGGGCTGGAATAGATGCAGTAGTAATAGTATATCAAAGCACAACTTCAATAAACGGCCCAAATCATGACCAGGCCATAGTCCGAGTTAAAGCCGTATTTGCTTCATCGTGCAATCTTATATACAACCACGGGACGAAACAGCAAGACAATCGATGCAGTCTCAAAGTTCAACCACCAAAAAACACCAATCGGAGCGCAATCCTGAGATCCCAACTCTTATCTACGCCCCCAAGACGAGGCAACAAATGTAACTGAACAGCCTCACACCAACCACTATCCAACACCGACGCTAGCAGAACGATCACTCCAAACAGCAGAAATTGCAATCGCCGACCCACCATCCCCATCACTATCACCAACACCGAAAAAACCCCATCCCCAATTTCCCATCCGCCAAAAACCGCATTCCAAGATTCCCATAACCATCGATCCCTTCACCCGAAATTACCCCAAATCCATTGCCACTCCATCCCACGCAGCGTACTTAAATTAACCAATCTACCCGTGCCAAGCCCCAAGTCCACCGAAGTAGATCACAATAGGCTGAAGTAGGTAACCCGATATACGCTCCAAAGAACCGGAGATGACGGGCCTAAGGACACAGGAAGATCCTTGTAGATAACAGAACGGTAGATTTGTAGTTCTGGAAATTAGTAGATCGAATTGATAGTAGGACAGGCAAGGTAACCCTGGATTTGATCGGGTTGGGTGGCTTATCTGGATGGTTAAATTGTGGTTTTGGAGTAGGAAGTAGGGTAGGGGATGGTGTATTACAATAATGATGATACACTAGCCACCCACCTCCGTCTATCCTACCGCAACCTCAGCGGGTGTACGGAGACGTATTCCAAATAACTCTTACACGTGCTATACACATGATATGCACTGATAGATTGACAGAAGAGATGGTGATACAAAACGCGTGTTACATTTACAGCCATCCCTCAACCCAACCTCCTCCCATCAAAGAACCCCATCCTCCCCCCCTCATCCAACCCCCCCTCCAACCGACTCGGCACAAGTTTCCTCAGCACTGTCAACGCAGCCTCCAGTTCCCGTTCATCGGGGTGCCACAACGCGCGAATCTCTTCCCACGCCTTGAGTATGCGTTCGGGGGGTGCGCATCGACCGAATGCACGGAGCGCCGCAATGACAGCCAGACTGGACAGCCATGTACGCTCCATATTATTGCTATTTAGCGCTTTGAGATACTGGATCCAAATCTTCTCGAGGCGGGAAAGTGTCCAGGAGGAGTATCTAACGCCGCCGAAGGAGTTGAAACCGTGGAATATGACGATGAAGATAGTGCCGTCGAGGGAGACTGTGTTGTATTTCATTTCTTGCAAAAGTTCGTTGACGCGGTCGATGTTGCCAGCTACAGCTGCATGATGCCGTATCAAGATTCCGTAAGTCCGTGAATCGGGGCCGATGGGCGCGAGGTCTTGGAGTTGCTTTAGCTCTTCGTCTCCACCTTCTTTCTTCAGGCGCCGCGCTTCGTCGCGGAACTTCATGCCTAGCACGCGGCGGTCGCGCCAGGTGCGGTTGAAGAAGACGTGGCCGCGCGCTGTGGCGCTGCGTTGCGCGTGCAGGCGCTTCATGCGCTCGAAGACGTGTTCGGCGGCTGAGGGCTCGCCGGCGCGCATTAGTGATGCTATGACGGCGTTCATGACGACGGTGTCTACGATATCGCCGGCTGAGACGAGGTCGAGATATGCTTTCCGGACGGCATCTCCGTTTTGTAGAACGCCGTAGTAGTAGAGGAGTGCTACACGGTAGTGTCGGTGCATGGGTAGCTTTCGGGCCTGCATCTCTTTCATAAAGGTCTCGGCTAGTGTGTACTTGCCCGCTTTGACAGCAATGTTGAAGAGCACGTTGAATGTGACATATCCACCTTTTAGTCCAGCCCGGTGCTCCATGTCCTGCCAGATGCGAAGGGTGTTTTGTAGGTCATCATCAGAGACAGTTCCCATGGCGCGTCCAGTCAGATGTATGGCGGATGTCCACTCTGAGCGTACTATGTGTATATGCGCCGTCTTCATATCGTCTAGGACCGAGAGGAACCGTTGCGCTGCGATGGGTGTGGGGCGTTCGACAATGGCGAGATGGTGCAGTAGCGCTCGAATAGTCATGGTAGTAAGATATACAACTCCTGGCGACTGCAGCTTCTTGTACGTATCAAAGACCTCATCGTGCGGCGACTCATCATCCTTCAGCAGATCCTCCAACTTCTTGATATGCAACGCATCTGCTGGCTCACGGAGGGGCCAGGGCTCGTGGTCATCGCCAACATTCCAGACCAGCTTCCCTTCGTCAGGAACATCCGCCTCAGGCCGGGTATCAATTTCCATGCCATAGTAGTCCACCAAGGCCTGCAGCTCCTTCTCGGCGAAGTTTTTGACTTTCTTGAACGGCCCTTTGCGCTCGGGGAAAATATCCAGCTTCTTCTCCGACTTTGACCACGTGCTCTTCCTGCGTGATGTGTGGTGTTTCGGTGTCGGCGATGCTACGTCGCGCGGGGTATGTATATGTTTCGCATGCTTTGGGCACGACCCGGCCCGCACCAATGCCTGGATGAAGAAAGTGTCCATGCGAGCAGACGGCCTATCGGGTAACGGAGCATTGTCTACCGCCTTCTTGCTGAACCTCCTCTTCGATGTGTTCTTCTCGGGATTCGGGTACAGGAAGGTGAGGAAGGGGCGAGCACTGGCGGTATTGGAGACTGCAGAGGTCCGGTCGAGGGTGCGGAAGAGGGACATGAGAGGTCGAGCATTGTGTCAGAGGGAGCCAGTTCAGACGGTGTCCATTTGGGGGATTCCGGGTGCAATTGATTACGGGGAGCTCAGCGAAGAGCTGCCTGGGTGGGAGGATTATTGTGGCGGGTGCCGAGTGTCGCGGTCATACTGTCCAAAGATTTCGGCGTCGCGAAGTCTTGGCGGAGTTGCGGACTTTGCGGGCAAGAACCCCAATATCCACGACACGACCAATTGCGCCGCCCGACCTGCTGCTACACCCTACGTCTCCCTCCGGAACCCCCGCCGATGCGATAACATATCTGCCAATATAAAATAAATCACCGCCCGCCATGGGCCGCTACGACTTCCGCCCGATGCGGGTGCGCCAGACCGCGAAAGCCCTCTTCGACTCGAAACGCGAACCCAACCTACCGCAATGGTACGACGTCGTCGGAAACATACCGCCCGGCGAGACGCTCGCCCGCCCAGTCCTGCGCATACCCAAGATGCGAAAGGCGCGGAAAGCCAGCAAACTATTCCAACCACTCCCCATCGCATACCCAGAAGACAAGCTGCGTTCAGAATTCTTCGGCGACCACCCATGGGAACTGGCACGGCCGCGGCTAGTCGTAGAAGACAGCGGCAACGACTCCAAGAAATACGACTGGAGTAAGATTGTCCAGCCAGGAAAGCAATTAGACGGTGAAAGGTACCTCCAACCCACATCCACCACACCACACCACCCCCATACTAACACCCCCCCAGCGTCGTCCAACGCCAAATGTGGCTAATGAAGCACGCCTCCCTCTCCAAGTCCTCCGCCTACGATCTCGCCCGCCGCGAATTCTACCAACACCGCCACCTCTCCGAAATCCGGTCCCGCATCGCCAAAGAAGAAGCCCTGCACGTCGGCGCCTACTTCGGCAAAGGGCCCCTCGAGATCGGAATGGAGCTCGAAGACCGCACGTGGGAGAACTGGAAGGCGTGGGCTGCCCAGCAAATTGAGGACGAGCAGAGTATGCGCGCCCAGATGTTTAGTGGGCAGCAGGATGAGGGGTTGGGGGATGCGGCCGAGATGAGTACGGCGGAGTATGATGAGGCGGTGCAGGAGATTCAGCCTAGTGCGCCGAATAATCCGCAGGGGATGAGGCCCATGGGGGGTGTGGCGGCGCATGCATAGATGGGGTGGGAGATGCTGTACATTTTGTGTAGATTACGATTACGATCGGGACAATTCAATGGATATGAGATAAGCTCTATCTGGATAACGGGAATTTGTGGGTATGTGGAGGGCATGGACGGCATCGCGATGATGCTCATCATCATCAGGGTATTGATGAACGCAGTAGCATACAGGTTTACAGAGTCAACAATCTCGATTTTCTCAGGGCATGACGGTATTCTGCCTCTGTTTCAGCTCATCCCTTATCTTCATAGTGCATTCTGGCGAACCCCAGGCGGAGGAGTCATGTGTTTTTGCCGATCTTCCTTTGGGACGAACCGCAGCAGACAGCATGAGCTGTTGGACGAAGGATTTTGAACATGCGGTATCTTTCTCCAGGCTTGAAGTACAAAGAAGCAACGTAAAGAGGAGATTTTATATCTCAACAGAGACGCAGCCGCGAGACATGTCTCTGAGCACTCATTGTTTCCAGCTGCCAGCCCGGGTCTCATGTCGTGTCTCTTTCTTGATTTGATGAACCGCAACCGACATGGAAGAAGTCGAGTTGGATTTTGGTCACTCCGAAGAGACGAACATGCCTGGGCTCCATTTGTGTTTTGGAGAATGCACTCTGCCGAGTGGGATATAGGAAGGAAAGACTTCGAAAGGCGAAAAGAGTATTTTATGCCCCAAGGCTCTGGGCGGGAATAGACATTGAAAACTGCTAAATCGTGTTTGATACCATACACCAGACCGGGCGTCTTTTGCACAGCCATTGATTGTCCGTCATGCCTTTTTGGAACGAATTTTTATAGAGTTTGGATAGAAGGCAAGACCCGGAACGAGACATCGAGTTTTGGGAGGTCCTTTTTGGACGGTCGTGCCAGAAAGAATGGCTTTTGTGCCGATAAGGATGTTTGTCTTGGCTCAAACATACAGAGATGGTGCGTATGCTTTTGGAGGAAGAGGCGAACAACACCATGAAAAGATAGGTATTAAAGTTTTGGTTTTTGGAAATAGAAAGTGTAATGAAGAAGTAAGACCCGAGAATGTCGTGGTATTTATACCCGTTGCGACCAGGCTCAGTGGAGCGGAACATGTACACTTTGTCCGCTGACTTCCAAAGACATGGACCGCTTCCTTCAGCATTTTGACTCCTCGGTGCTCCACAATGATACATAGTCTTTGGTAGTCGATGTTATGGTACGTCCGGGAATTACACTGTCCGAACATGTATCGCCGGTTTGTATATTTTTCGACATCAGATCTTCTTCAGTAGGAATCTTCGCGGTAGTCTCTTCCACATCCGAATAGATCCTCGAACTCTTTGGTAGCTCGCAGCCATCCAAGATTAATGTGTGTACTTTTCGAAAGCCCGGAGGAGAAAGACATCACAATACGCTGCTCTGCTTTTGGAAAATCTCGCCCAAGCGAGGGAAGTTGTAGAGAAGAGAAGCAATGGAGCGCTCGTGTTATTTATATGCCAGCAAACCCAGCATGCGACTCAGGTCATTGTTTTTTTGGAACTCATGTAGCGAGGCACTTAGTGTTTTGACGCAAAATACTGGAACCAGGACGCTCATGGTGCTTCTTCATATTTGTTTTTGTTTCGAAGCAACCGGCAGACTCCATGCGACGATGCTGTTCCCGCTTTGAGCCAAAGAGTCTAGTGGAAACTTGTACGAGCTATCTGCCCGCACAGAGAAACATTCAGTTACTGTGGCGTATTTTCAAGTTGGTGCCAGGCAGCACATAACAACAACTTCTCGTATGTTTTGAAAAGGTGAAGTCTTTGAAGGTGGTAGGTAGAAGACAAGAAGCAGAGCCGCAAGAAAGGTCTTTTATACTTCAATAATGAGGCGTTATATCGCGTCCATGGTAGAGCCACTCTTCTGGTGTCTATCGACCGTATTTTTCCACAGAAGCATCGGTTGCGATCGCGTTGGCTTTTGGAGATGGACAATGATCTCACTCCGGACAGGCTCTCATGACATCCTGATGTCTTTGTTTTGAACTTCGAATTTCCTGGTACACGCCAAGGGCAGCTTCCATGTACGTGTTGTACGACCTTTTGGAAAGGGGAACGAGACTCAGACATGGGAGCCCCGGTTGACATTTTTGAGTATTCCAACGTGGAAACATTTGGTGAAGAGGGGAGAAGTGATCGTGAGTTGTTCGATTTATATACACCGAGGGAGGCGCACAGAGCCTGCTGCCATGTTCCACAAACATCTACACTTGTGGAAAGGAGTGGTGAAGCCGTCCAAGTGTTGAAACCGATTAAGATTCTCGTAGTAAATTGCTGAAGGTCGCGAGGCGGAGATCATGAGCGAGCGCGCCATGATCTTTAGGAAGGGTCTCGAACCGCGGACACATAATGCGTTAACCAAGGTATTTTTGGAAAGCATCACTTGTGGATGTCGTGTTTTTGGAACTGTCCCAGCCAGACCACCATAGCCTGTGCCGCGACTTCTTTTGGAACGTAGAATTGGAAGGTGAAGGTACAAGAAGAGAGGGTGCTGGTGAGGAAGGTCTTTATATGCGACAAGATCTTCGTAGTACGTAGCTGGAGATCGCATGCCGGAGATTGCATGTCATCATTGTGGATATCTTTGTAGTTGCGTCCCCGCGAACACATCGAAGTATCGTGTTGAAGTTTTGGAAGCTGTGACACATGCGAAGTACCCATATGGTTTTGGGATTCTCGAGGCCAGAAGAACATGCATGCGTGCGATGTCTTTTTTTTTATGAAGTGTGGTAAGATGGAGATAGAAGGAAGGAAGAATGCCGAGGAGGAAGAGGCCTTTATACGCGCGACTAGACGCTAGCACCACATCCCCGGGTCGCGGGTGCATGGAGGCGTGATGTAGCTTCGTCGGGTTGACATCGTTTTTGATCAACCAGTTTTGAATGGAGAGCCGAGCTTCCAGCGTACGCTAAAAGGCTCTTCGACCCCGATATGCTTACGACCTCAACAGTAAGATACAACGATACCTCGGTCTTGTGCTTTTTCGGTCGCACTTTCGACAACGTAGAACGTCGTAGCGAAGGTTTCTGTGAACGCTGCACCTCAACTTATGCCTCAGCCAATCGCAAACTGATGGTCATTAGCGCAGGATGTACGCCGGTCCCGCGGTTGGCCTGAAAAGGCGCCTGACGTCAGACCGTAACCAGACAGCCTCACATTCAAAAGAACTACCTACCGTCCTTCTAATACAACACCTTTGCCTTCATTCCCAGCAACAACCCTCCACAACAACACTCCCACCTCAGTAAAAATGCCACCAACCCCCACCCCACCAATCCCCAACCCCCCTCCAACATTCCTCACCCTCCCCCGCGAACTCCGCGACAAAATCTACACTTACGCCCTCTCCATCCCCACCCCCATCGACATCGGCTCCATCCTCCCCTCCCCCGGCTACTGGCACGACCCCTCTCCCCACCCCCCAAAACCACCCACCCCATTCCTCCTGCTTGCAAACCGACAAATACACGCCGAAGCAGCCTCCACGCTCTACGGCTCCAACACCTTCAACTTCCCACATCCAGGCCAACTCCCTGCGTTCGAACGGCAAATCGGGGCGGAGAACTGTAAGCGGGTGAAGAGTGTGGAGATTTGGGTTCGGTATCCGGGTCCGGATGAGGTTGTGTTTGATGCGGGGGAATTGGGGCTGGGGGAATATGATAGTGTACCTGAGCATTGGATGAAGGTTTTGGGGGAGAGCGGGTTGACGGGGGTAAGAAGGTTGAAGGTGGAGGCGGTGATGATTGGGTGTGAGCCTGATAGGGTGCTTTCTGTGCTGCCTATGCCGGATGAGTTGAGGGATTGCTTTGTTGAGTTTCTGGGGAGAAGGGGTGATGGAGGGGGAGGTGGGGCGCCGCGGCTGGAGTTGAAGGGGATACGGAAGGAGGAGAGGGGGAAGTTTCCGGAGGGGTGGGATGTTGTGGTCAGTCAGTGGAATTAGCATATAGAAGGAGGAGAAGAAGAAGCGGGGGATGGGGACTAAACAATAACATTACTATGAGCACGACTACTTTATACATTTCTCTCGCTATCGCGATGCCGCTCAGATCTTGCCAAGACCAGCGCCCTTCTTCACGATCTTCTCCACTTCCTTGAGCTTAGTAAGCTTGTACTTGTAAGGAGCCTTGGTGAAGTTGCCAACTTGAGTAATATTAACAGTCGCCTTCCCAAAGTCGTTCTTGGCACCAAGGTTCGCGAAGCCATCAATCTCAAAGTCGCCATCGGGGCTGGTGTTGGGGCTATCCTCTGGGATGACCAACCCATATGTGCTGAGAGCCTCGCGTGTCTTGCCCTTGAAGACGTTGCCTTCAACAAGAACCTGGTTGTCGCTACGGGAGTGGATGGCTTGGTACAGGAAGTCGACGTAGAGATTGTTGTAGATGTGCTGGTGGCCGAAACGACCGGCAGGGCCACGGGTACCTTCGTTGCGCCAGTAGTTGTGGTGGTAGGTGACGTGGAGGTGACCTTGGTCGACATCCCTGAGGGCATCGCTGTTGCCAACGAGGGAGCTCTTCCAGTGGTCGTGGAAGTAGTTCCATGAGACTGTGATCCAATCCGCGGCGCGGATGATGTCTACTTGGCCGTCGTACGCATCAGGGCCCAGAGCAGGGAAGTTGCCAGTGGTGAACTCGTTATGGTCGATCCATACGCGGGTACTATTGCGAATCGTCATGCAGTCGTCGTCAATCGCTGTGAACCCGAAGTTGCGAATGATGACATTGGTCTTGTTGAAGATGTTAAGACCCGAGCCAGTGATTTGAGCTCCCTTGCCCATTCCGATGAGAGACTTGTTCGACCCTACTTGGACTCTTGATGTGAGATTGAAGTTGCCCTTGGCGTAAATGACTGTTGGCTCGCTGCCGTTCACAGCTTTGATGAACTCAGCGACCGTCCGAACAGTGACGCTCTTGCCATGTTTGCCAGCACCACCAGTGGTTGGTCCGATTGGGTTGTCCTTGGCGAAACCGACGAGGCTAAAGTCAGCCCCTGC